AGCTTCTGCTTCCTGATATCTAATGCTCTTCTCTCTTTTTACCAGTCCTTTAACTCCTATATCCAGTCAGCCCATTAGATTATAAGCCTTCTGGAATATGTGCTATGTCCTTTGGGTCTCTGGAATTTTGATTCCTAAGATTCTATGTTCAATAAATACCTAATGAGCCTGAGCTGGTATGGATCAGTAGACTGAGCACTGGCCTGCGAACCAAAGGGCCCCCAGTTTGATTCCCAGTCAGGGCACACGCCTGGGTTGTGGGCCACGTCCCCAGTAGGGGGCACACGAGAGGCAACCACACATCAATGTTTCTCTCCATCTCTTTCTCCCTCCCTTCCTTTCTCTCTAAAAATTAAATAATAATAATAATCTTTAAATAAATAAGTGGGTAAATAAATAGAGTTAGACACACCTCATGTTGCAGAGTACTTTACAACTGTCGTCCATTACATACAACCAGACATGGCCCTCTAGTTCTTACTACACTCGTAACTCTTCTGACTTTTACATGTGTTGTTCAGTTTCACCTCTTAACTGAAATACACATTCTACCACTATCTCCTCATTTTCTATCACAGAACTCTCTTTCATAGGAGCATTTCACTTATTAGAATCTGTAAGTCATAGACTGCAAACACAAGGCCCTCAGGCCAAATCCGGCCCTCCACCTTGTTTCAACCTGGCAGCAGGGCTGAGCTCTCACTTAACTGTTAAGGAGTAGTGACATTTATATAATTCTAATATTATATTCGGCCCTTTGAAGGCAACTGGGAGGCTGATGTGGCCCCAGGTGAAGTGAGTTTGACACCCCCATTCTAAATGGCCTCTAAATTCCATGACAGCAGGGCTCCCATCAGTCCTACTCATTCCTGAATTCCTAGTGCCTTCAGAAATGCATGGCACGTGGTACATGCTTACTAAATTATTTGCTGAATAAATGAATACAATTTGTGTAAGGTCATGGCTAGTTAACTGCCTAAAATGGGAATAAAGTCTTCTTTAATTCCAATGCTCTTTCCATTGTCTCACTTATAATATCCTGCTGTATTACGGTCAAAAGCCACTTCCTCAGGCCCTTTTTCCCAGAGCTAGCTGGACCCCCATAAAGCATGGCTGACCCTGTTTTATGAACCTTTATCTTGGGGACTAGAAAATTACTGTAAGCACCCTGAAGGCTCAGAAGCTCCAGGAATTTACCAAACAGGACATACCACATACCATGACCTCCAGACACCCCACCCCCCCCCCCCCGCACCCAAAGATAACATTGAAACAAGTCGCAGCCTAATTGAAACATCCTGCTCTACAACCACCCCATTACCCCATCAAAGCCCTAACCCCTCAGTGATGGTGCTGGTAGTATTGCCACACCTGACCCTCTCCCTCCCTTGGGAAAGTAAAAATAAAACCCTTTATTCTCAGCACTACCTTCTCTTTGTGAATTCTTTCACAGCCCACATCAACAACAACCCTAACATTTAGCATGTATACATTACCATTAATTGTAATGATTCCAACTTCCTGTGACCATTATTCTATGTTATATAAATGTCTGTATTTTCAATTCTAGGCCAATTGCCATCATTGTTTAACTTAAAAATGTGTATAAATAGTACATTAACATCTGTGCTATGGCATATTATGTACAGTACTCAAAATACCGTATTACTCTACAAACTACAGGTATTTTACAGTTTAAAAGTTAGAAGGTGGGTACTAGGTACCTTACATTTCAGAGACTGGGCTTTTGAGCCAGTCACAGGTTCAAGACCCAGCTTTGCCAAGTAATAAATTGTTGGACAAGTTACTCTAAACTTCAGCTGACTCACTTGCAAAACAGGGATAATAACTCCAGTATTTGATTTAGGTTTATAGTGAAGGTGATAAGTTTATATATGTAAACCACTCAAAAAATCATTCAATTCAGTGCCTAATCAAAGTTAAGTGCTGAGCAAAGTGGTATTTTAAGTAAAAAACATGTAGTTTGGAGTTAATGCCCGGGTCCACACATTAATGGATAAGTCATTTCTGCAGGGTGCAGAGTTCCCACTGCAGCAGTTTTGTTTTGTTTTTTAAGATTTTATTTATTTATTTCTAGGGAGAGGATAAAGAGAGGGAGAGAAACATCCATCGGTTGCTTCTCACATGCCTCCAACCAGGGACTTGGCCTGCAACCCAAGGCATGTACCTTGACAGGAAGTGAACCAGAAACCTTTTGTTTGGAGGACAATGGCCAACCCACTGAGCCAAGCCAGTCAGGGCCACTGCAGCAGCTTTAAAATTGGATTAGATTTATAGAAAATGATAGAGAAAAATTTATCACTTTTCAAAAGTTTCTTTTTGAAGAATGAGAGGGAGACTTCTAAGTCTAAATCCATCTGAAAAACAAAATAATTCTGATTGACAGTACAATAAAGTTTAAAACACTGTCTCACAAATTAAGCATAGAAACAAGCAATGACACACATAGAAGTGAACTTTAAAAAAACCCCCACTGTGTTCTGAAATAAAGCCCAAGAGCAAAAAAACTCAGAACTAGGTGAAACCTCAGATTAAAACAAAAACAAAAACTAGATTAAAAACTTCAAAATGGAGTAACAATGAAAATCTCAAGACTCAGAAAATTCTCCTCACACAATCATAAAGTACCAGTATATCATAATTAGTGACATCTTAAGTAATAGAAGCACAATTCCTGAATACAGATAGATAGCTCATCTTTCCATGAAGAACACAGCAATCCTTACTTCACAGCAATATCTCAACTTGCAGCAAAGGGCTATAGACATTTTGCAAATCGTGTAATCTTGTAAGAGACTTTTATATAAAAAGACCTCATACAATTCAATAGCAAGCAAATAACCCAGCTTAAAAGTGGGGGAAAGATAAAAATCAACATTTCTCCAAAGAATGTTTATTTACAAATGGCCATTAAGCACATGAAAAAATGTTCAATACCATTAGCCATTGGGAGATGCAAACCAAAATCACTAAGGTACCATTTCATACCCACTAAATAAGAAGTGCTGACAAAGACATGAAGAAACGGGAACTCTCATACACGGCTGGTGTAAGTGTAAATGGTGCACCCACTTTGGAAAACAATTTGCCAGTCCCTCAAAAGGCTGAATATGGTTACCAACCACATGACCAAGAAATTCTACTCCTAGGTATGTATCTAAAAGAAGAAAACTGTATGTCCACACAAAATCTTCATAGCAACATTATCCATGAGACAAATGGTGGAAACAAACCATGTCCGTCAACAGATAATGGATAAGTATAATGTCTATACATAAAATAACTCAATAGAAAGACATGAAGTTCTGATAATGCTATATAACATGGGGGACCCTTGCAAATATTATGCAAGTGAAAGAAGCCAGTCACAAAAGCCCACACACTGAAATTCCTATGAAATGTTCACAATAGACAAATCTGTACATTAGTGGTTGGGGAAGAAGTTGGGGGTTAAAGGGAACAGGGAGTTTCTTTTTGGTCTGATGAACATGTTTAAAAATTTATGGTGGTGATGGCTGCACAGCTCTGAATACACCAAGCCAACTTAATTACACAAGTTAAATGTTTGAACTGTAAGGTATGTGAATTATATCAATAAAGCTATTATTTTTTTAAAGGTGGGGTTGGGGGGAGGCTATGGAATTTCCAAAATATACCTTGGTTACAAATCTGATCGTCTCATCCGTTTTTGGATGATCTCCTTATCATCTATTCTCTTAACTAAACACTTAACAACGAACTTAAACTATACCCTCGGGAAGAGAAAATATTAAGTACTGCATAGATTTTTGTCAACTACAGAAAAACCCATGTATCTTCTAGTTAGACTCAGGGCGAAGCTGACCACAACCTCCGACCTACAATTTCTCAACATATCCCACCATAATTATACTAGCTTAGATACTTCCAAAGCAAAGGCTTAAGTTGATTTTAAACAAATAATGGGTTTAGCAATGGTACTTCCCCCCCTACTTCTTAACTTCGTTAGTGTGGTCAATTTATTGTTTAAAAATAAATAGGAGGGAGTAAAAATTGGTTCACGTTCCGCAATGTTACAAAGCAACCGAAGGAATCGTTCTCTGGCCAAAACCGACCAAAGAAAGGAGAAATGATAAAATTAACAATTTCTAAATATTCGGTGTTAAACCTCAAATGACCTAAGGAAAATTTTTAAGTGAAAGAATTAATCTGTGCACGATATGGGTGGAGGAAATTCTAGGTGCGTTCTTCAGGCGGGGTCCAAGCGGGCCCACGGCCAGTCCTGCCGCCGGCGCCACAGCTGGGGCCTGCTACAGACCAAGGCCCGCCGTCCCAGGCGGAGGACCTTCATTCACCACGGGAGCGCCTGGGGACTCGCTCCGCAAGGAGGTCAAGACGAGAGACGCCGCCAGGCTCCCGAGGGCTCCACCCTCCAGTCCCTCTCCTCGGCGGTCCCCCGAGGGGAACAGGCGGGGCAACGAGCAAAGACAAGAGTTGGGGGGGGTAATCTTCGGTAAGAAAAGCTCCGCCGCCCCAGAGTGGCGGCCGCAGGTTATTAATAAACTCCGCTTCTGCCCAGGCGTCGCTGCCCGCCGTAAAATCAGAAGGGCCTGCGACGAAGACTGAGCTGCCGAAGTCAGGGCCGGGGCCCTAGCGGGCCCGCGCCGCCGCGCTAAGGGCGGCGGCCGGGCGGAGAATAATGCACACTGGGTAAAAACACATTTATATACGAACCTCCGAGAAAATTTTCCAACAATTCCTTCGTCCGACCACCATGCACCAGGACAGGAAACAGCCGCCCGGCCCCCAGGCCCGGCAACCCGCATACTTAGTCTGAAGCCCGCCCCTAGCCTCCATTGGGCTGTCACTACGTCACTCATTAGACGCTTCCTGCTTACCATTGGCTCAAATTTATGCGACGCGAGCGATCAGTTTGTCCACGCCCCGTTTGCTTGACGTCACGCCTTAAGGCCAGCATCTGAGTGGCGTGGCTGAAGAGCGGAATCAAAGTTCCTGTGTCTCAGTGGTTGGCCGAACCGCTTATCCTAGACTGACACCGCCTCGGTAACTAGTGAATTATGCTGATTCGGGGGCTCCTGCGGGAGGCGCCATTTTGTAGTGAGGGAGGGAGGCTGGTCCTTGTGACCAGCCGGGAGGGAAAAAGGGTGGCTGGCGCCATATTCCCCACAGGGGCTAGGAGATGGCCTTGACTTTTACGGTGGGCTTCTTGGAGCGCGTTTTGGAGACTGGTTGGGCTTTGCTTAGAGATTGCCGTTTGTCGTACTGTTGGGAGGGAAATGGTTGTGAGGAGCAGGACAAGATGGGATGCGTAACAGCTCCCTGGGGGCTCTTGGTGCCAGCTGGGGCCTTCGGTCTTGGAAGAGGGCTCCGCTTTCCCGAGAGTTGCTGTAAGGCGGTCAGTGGTTGCCAAGCTCTCCGCGCTTCGGTCGTCCAGGCATCACCATTCGATGGGAGGGTGAGCCTCCTATCGCCCCCCCACTCCCCCAAAAGCCTCGGAGGAGTTTGGCAACGGGTAGCTAAGGTCTTGGACTCCGCTGGGAGAGTGCGGTTCCTTTTGCACATTCATGTTTAGGTTCAGAATTTGAAAGTCTTTAATGGTGTCGTACCTTCTCTCTCTTTTTAAAATCGACCTTCATTTTCACTTTACCTTTTGTATGTTTCGTGAATTAAAGGAAAGCGAAAAGATTGGGAAAAGCATTTCCTGTGTCTCCGTGAACCTAGTCAGAATGAATACAAATTACTTAACTAAATTTAGATAATTGTTTTTCCACGTCCTAACCCCAGCTTCAACTATTGGGAGTACTAGCCGTTTCAGGAGTATTCAGTAAGTTCATTTGCTTTGGCAGCCAGGCTGAATAAAGAGATAAAAGTTTGTTAAACCGGGCATTCCAGGTGTGGAGCTGAGTTACTACGAGAATGAGGAGGCCGGCCAGTTGTAATAGGTTAGTGTTCCGCTTGCAAAAATTGGTGCGTGCTAGATGATGTTAGATTTAGTGTCTTCGACGTTTCAGGTGGTTATGGAATGGAATGGCCAAGGGGGTTAAGGCAAAAGAACGTTAAAAATAGCTCTCTAAATGAAAATAACTAAAATGTTTTTGATGGACAGTTGAGCCTAGTTCGAGATTTCAATGGTACCGTGTTTCTTGGAGAGGAGTAAGGGGCAGGCTGAACCTACTCAAGTTTAGTTGAATAATTGGTGCCCAAACGCCAGTCCAAAAAAAATAACGACTTTTTGAGTTTTGTTTGGATACATACTATTTACACCTTTGAAGCAGTTTTCGTTATGCCCTTACAAAAATGAAAAAATAACACAAAATTGGATTAGGTCACTTGAAACTGAAGGAATTGGCTTATTGAAAGCAGCCTCCTGCTCAGTGGATAGGTTACCTTTGACATAAAGGGAGTTCAGATGAAAAAAAGCTTTTTAAAATAAACCAAACCAGGGTGTTTTAACTTAACACATTCTGTACCTTCCAGGTGTTGTATCTGTATTTGGTAATCAGAAATGTTATTAAAGGAAACAATATTTCTCTGCAGTTTAGCCATTTATTACTAAGTTTACTCATTAAAATACAGAATTTAAAGAATTCATGTATAAATTTGTATGTTTTTATTACGATTTATCCCCCTTATACCATCTTCTACCCCACCCAATGCCCAGAGCTGTCAGCCTGCTCTTTATGATTCTGTTTTACTTGTTAAACGATTTAAAAATTTTTATTCTAAGGGAGAAAGGAAAGGAGGAAGAGGAAAACAGATTGGTTGCCTCGCAAAGGCCCCAACCATGGACCTGCCCACAACCCAGGCATATGCCCAGGTTGAAGGGGCATCAACCCGGTGACCAACCAACTAAGCCACAACAGCCAGAGCTCAAAAAGAAGTTTTAGGTTACCCATTAATTGCAAATTGCAATTACAAAACTTTTTTTGGTCTTTTTTTTTTTTTTTAAGATTTTATTTACTTTTCTTTAGAGGGGAAGGAAAGGAGAGAGGGAGAGAAATATCAATGTATGGTTGCCTCTTGTGGGTCCCCTGCTGGGAACTGGCCTGCAACCCAGGCATGTGCCCTGACTGGGAATCGAACCGCAATCGTGAGGCTTGCAGGTCCACACTCAATCCACTGAGCTACACCAGCCAGGGCGGTCTTTTTAAAAATTAAAGTATTTTTTAAAAATTAATTTACATTCAGTATTATTTTGTGTTAAGTTTCAGGTATATAGCAGTGGTTGGCCAATCATATACTTCACAGAGTTTTCCCCCCTCATACTTTCAGTATCATACATAGTTATTACAATGTTACTGACCATATTTCCTATGCTTTACTTCATGTGACTAGATAAGATACTGTAATTCTTACCCGATTCAGAGAGAAACCCTAACTCTTGATTTTTTCCACGGGTAGTGGAACTTTGTGTTAACAGTATTTACCAGTGATTTTAGAGTTCAAATGTACAGAGTATTCAGGGCAATCCATAATTTTCAAATTTTCCCCAAATCATATTTTTTCCTGTCCCTTATATTTTGAATTAATGACTTGAAAATATTTCACTTCCAACCAGTGCTAGTAGTCCAACCCCTTAAAGCTGGACCATCTGGTCAATTCATGAATAGGCTAATTTATTTCTAGCTCCCTTTAAAAACTGCCATTGTGATTTTAAAAACATTTCAGTAACTGAAAACTTTCTGGAGAATTGAGCATATTTGTACCATGTCAACCAATAAAGTATTACATGTGTAAAAAAAAAAGATACAAAGAACTGCATTAAATCCTAAAAATATCTGAGACAAGGTGTTTAGAGATGACTTGGGTTTATTAAGTTATTTCTGTAATACATTTGAATTTTTAAAATCATGGATTTGTAGTTTTAAAAAAACAAAAATTTAAAACCAAACTAGTAGCTTGCTCTGTATTGGGAGCTGTGGCTGCAGATGTATCGACTTGTCTCACAACCTGCTGCCTCATCCTTATGGTAAAAACCACTTATGCAAAGAAGAAAAAAAAGGAAAAAAAAAACCTACTTATGCCATGGCGTGATTGGCAGGATACACAATATGAGAATATAGGTAAACAAATTAGCACAGTGCCTACTAGAGATGCATTCAAGGGCTTAATGTTAAACCATCTTTCTCCAGTTCTCACTTTAATGGTCTCTACAGCAGTGGTTCTTAAGCACTTAAAATAATAGTTCTATTTATTGCAGTTGGGGTGAAAGCTATGAACAATATGCTAAAAAGTTTGTAGTTTCATAGGGCTTTCTTTAGGGAGTCCTTGGCCTGTAGACTGAATCTCAGTTAATTTCAGTTTCCACACGGAAAGTGTTAATCAGGGCTTAATTAGAACATGTTTCAGAAGTTTATGATGAGGTTACTTAAACTGCTCCTTTCCAATCTCAGATAAGTGGTTCTCAGTTTATATGATGACATAAGCATAGCTATACTACAACTTATGTTTTGTTAGTGGCTAATTGAATGATTCCCCTCATTTCAAACTGGTAATTACAGTATGAAGTTTTTCATTTACCAGTTCTACCCTTGGACCACTTGTTAACCTCATTCATTCATCTTTGAAAAATCACTGAGTTTGAAGTTTACCAATTGTGACTAATATATGTTAAGTTTATTTTAGTGGCAAACTGAGGAAGTACACTCAGTTTACACAATGCTATAAATCTTGAAAAGACCCTGAAGATTCCAGGTGTCCCTTTGGAAGTGGCTACTTCCACAGATTACAGCTTCATTTTAGGATCTAATTATATTTGTTTAAAGTAGAGCATTCCAAACAGTGAAAACCAAGTTTCGTTAATAGACATAGTAAGTCCGCACTGTTTCAGCAGTAGTTAAATAGTGGATAGTACATGAATGAAGTCACTGCTCTCAACATGATTTTATTTTCCTCATTCTCTTGAGACAAATAATTTTTATAATTTTTATACCATTTTATAGAAAAACACTTAAGTGCTTTTTTCTTTTTGGCAGGGGGAAGGGTTGGCTCAGTCTTAAATCCCTAATGCTATGAATTACAATGAAAAGTGTAATACATAAGCAAGTTTACAGGAAAAAAATAATTTTAAGGATCACCATCCTAAGTTTGGCACCAGTTTGGACTGTTTGATGGGGTAATGGCGATTAAAAATCAAATGAACTAGTAGCCAAAATATTGGGGTAATAAAATCTGAGACTATTTTACAGATACATAGCCATGAGTAAAGTTATTCTTAACATATTAAATACATAAACATTTCATGTTACATTTTAGAAAACTTGTACCAAATTTGAGACTTGCTTTAAACAAAAACTGAAAATTGAGATACTTGTACACTACAAAATTCAACATTTAAGTTTACACAAGTCATTTTTAGTATATTCACAAGGCTATGGAACCACCAATATTAGGTCCAAAACATTTTCATCATCCCCAAAAGTAACCCTGTACACATTAGCAGTCACTTTATTTCCTCCCCAACCCTTCCCGGCAACCATTAATTTCTGCTTCTATGGATTTGTCAATCCTAGACATTTCATATAAATGGAATCTTTTCTGTCTTGACTTTTTTCAAGAATGGAGTACTGTTAACATACGACACTGACAAGTTTCCAAGGCTTATCAGTGTTGTATGTTAACAGTACTCCATTCTTTTTTATTCCCAAATACATGATTTTATGGATACACCACATTTTTATTCAACTGACAGCTTTTCTTGGATTATTTCCACCTTTTAGCTGTAACGGTAGTGTTAACAATCATGTCCATGTTCTTGTGTGGACACACCTTTCCTTTCAACTCTGTAAGAGTGGAATTGCTGGGTGACCCTACCTTCAATCTTACGAGGAACTTCCAAACTTTTCCACCAGATAACCATTTTACATCTTAGCAGTGTATGATGTTCCTAATTTCTCATCTTTACCAACACTTGTTAATTGTCCACCTTCCTAATTATAAATATGCTTAGTACATGTGAAATACCTTATTTTTATCCTGATTTCATTTCCCAAGTGACTAGCCATGTTGGGCATCTCTTCCAATGATACTGGCTTTGGAGAAATGTCTACTTGTATTTCCTACTTTAAAAAAGCTATTTATTTTTAGGTAGAGGGGAAGGAGGAAGAGAAAAACATCACCATGTGGTTGTCTTTTGTGCACTGACCCCAGTGGGAACCTGGCCTGCAACCCAGGCATGTGCCTACAGGTAATCAAATCAGTGACCCTTTAGTTCACAAGCTGATGTGCAATCCACTGAACCACAACAGCCAGGACTCTTTTACCGTAAATTGTTTTTGCTGTTACACACTGTGGATTTGCTTCTGCTTTGGTGTTATACCCAAGAAACCGCTGCACTGCCTAAATCACAGTGAAAAGGATTTATGCCTCTATTTTTTTCCCTAAGAGTTTTATACTTTGAGGTCTTATATTAAGTCTTTCGATCACTATAATTTTTGTAAATTATTGATGAGGTAAGGGTCCAGCTTCAGGTTCTTGCATGTAAATATCCAGCTGTCTTAGAACAGTTAAGATTCTTTCATACATCGAATGGTTGTGGCATCCTTGTTGAAAATCAGTTGACCACAAGTTTGAAGTTTCAGACTGGACTCAATTTTATTCCATTGGTCAGTATGTCTGTGCTTATGGCAGTATCACTGTCAAAATTACTAAATCATGTTCACATTTATGATGGGCTATTGTGCAACCCTTGTATTTACATACCGACTATAGTTATCAGTTTGTCAATCCTGCAATAAGGTAGCTGAGATTTTGAGAATTATACTGAATCTATTGATCAATCTGGGAAATATTTCCATCCTTATTATTTACCAATCCATGAACATGGATGTCTGCTTATTTAGGTCTTTCAACAGGTTTGTAGTTCTCAGTGTTTTTCACTTCTATTAAATTTATTCCTATTTTCATGCTATTGTACATGGAATTTCCTGAATTTCACTACTATATAGAAATACAACTGATTTTTGTATATTGACCTTGTGTCCTACAATCTTGATGGTCATTAGCTCTTTTTGTGTGGATTCCTTAGGGTTTTCTTGATATGTCATCTGTGAATTCACTTCTTCCATTCCAGTCTGGATGTCTTTTATTTCCTCTTCTTGCCTAATTGCCTTGGCTAGAACCTCATGTAAATGTTGAAAAGAAATGGCAACAGGGGGCATGCTTGTCTGGTTCTCAGTCTTAGTTTTCAAGTCTTTAAGTTTTGGGTAGATGCCATTTTTCAGGTTGAGAAGGTTTCCTTGTGTTTTTGGTTTATTAAAAGGATTTTGAAAGAAAAAAAAAGATGGAAAGGAAGCATTTAAAGGATTCAAAGTAACTGACAAATTTCAGTCTATACATGAAAGATCTATAATAAATATACAAAAGAATTAACACCTATGTTTTAAAAACCTGGAGGGGGATTACCTCAGACCAAAAAAAAGTTACTTCTCAAACATATTTATTCCTGCCCTGGTTGCTGTGGCTCAGTCAGTTGGGGCATTGTCCTGTAGACCAAAATGTTGTGGTTGGATTCCCAGTTAGGGTACATGCCAGGATTACATAGCAGGGTCCCCAGCTGGGGGACTATAAAAAGTAATAGACTTTTTCTTGCATATCAGTGATGCCTTTCTCCCTCTCACTCCCTCTCCCTAAAAATAAGTAAATAAACTCTTTTTAAAAGATATCCTTGAGTGAGAAAACAAAAAAGGTATTTATTCCTCCCATAGTGATAAAACCCTGGATTTCTAGATGGGACCTAGTTTCCCTTTGTAAGAAACCATGCACCAACATATTATTTCAAAGGTGACCAACTTCATCAAGGGTAATATTGCAACTTCAGGTTAGATGCTAACAAATAGTCACAGGTAATTGTCACCAAAACAAATGTATATAAAAGAGCTGCGATATTTATAACTGATTTAAGGTAGTTTTAGTATCCATTCATCTTACGAACTTTGGAATACCTACTATATTATAAGACATTGTACTGGACTTTCCCAAAGACCTTTTGTAATGAAGTTAATAAAATTCTTAATGACTTTTTCTTCATGCTTACTTCAGGGGCTATCTTGGAGGCTGAATAGCAGCACACAGCCAGTAGAGCTATGGTTTGACCAACCCTGCTCTATACTCTGGTCTCTTGTAGAGGTGAGCATAATAGTCACCATCCTGATGAAGTGTGTAAGTTTGCAATCACCATTTTATAACCTGCAGAGAAACACATGAATTTCGTTTAATACTGATAAAAATCAAAATTATATGCTTAACAGCCACTAAAAAAGACAAATACTGACACCCATACAAAATCAGAATTCTACAAATTGAAAAATGTTACAGGGCCCTGACCAGTGTGGTTTAGTTGGACCTCCTACCACAAAGCGAAAGGTCACTGGTTTGATTCCCAGTCAGGGCACATGTGATGTGCGCACTGGCTTACAGTGCCTGCGGTGTCATGGATGAGACATGAGACAAATTCACTTGGACTACCAAATCCTGTGGAGGAAAGGGGATGGCACAGCTACTCCCTCAAGGAGGGAGTGCCTCGGAGTGGCCTGGCAACTCTCTCAAGGGGAGAGAGCACGCTGACCCTTGCCTAAACAGGCTTTCATTATTTTTTTTTGCACAGGAGTTTAGGTAAAACTTATTACTCATTGTCAGGCAGTAAACAGTAGATGGTACAAAGAACCATTAGGGCTTTTTCTAAGTCAGGGTCTATTAGCTAAAGGCTTACAAGACTTTGGTAAACAAACTCATTTTCTCCTCGGGCCTTTATCATTTAACTAAAAGCATTCTTAGCAAAGCAGGCTTCACAGGATTGTTAGCAATTCTTTCTTAGGCCAGATCATCCCGGATCCCGCTCTAGCCGGCAAAGGGCTGCATGCACCACCTTCCCCATCACAGGTTTTCAGGCTTAAATGGCTAGGTCAGAATAGCGGGAGGGAGGGAGGGAGGGTGTGTGTGTGTCCATCAATCTCTCTTTGTTGCAGGCCCCCCCCCCATCCTTCCATGATGGTCTCCCAAGTGATTGTGTCTGGGTTAGGTTGCCCTAACAGAGACTACCTGTCTCTGACTATCTGACCAGGGGGATGAAGTAGAGGCAGTGTTTGCTACCAGAGACAAGCTTTGTCTCCTCGTGGCTCTCATTCCCAAGGTCACTCACTCAGCCTTAGCCACGGGTTGGGGTGGTGGTGGTGGTGGTGGTGGTGGTGGTGGTGGTGGTGGTGGTGGTGGTGGTGTGTGTGTGTGTGTTACAACTCCTGAAACCAGGCAGACCAGTTCCCAACACACATGCCTAGGTTGTAGGTTACATCCTAAGCTGAGGCACATACATGAAAGGCTATCGACCGATATTTGTCTCTCACACTGATATTTTCCCCCCTTTCTCTCTGCCTTCCCCACTCTCTAAAAATATACACATAAATAAATGAATAAAAAAGTCATAGGGTAGTGAATTTGTGGGAAAGGCTGTAGATGAATAAAACCTACATGTAGTTTACTACACATTTGGAAATACTGTCCAAAAAGTCATCAGGCCTTGCCAGGTGGCTGAGTTGGTTGGAGCATGTCCTGTACATCAAAAAGTTGCTGGTTCTATTCCCAGTCAGGGCACGTTTGGGAGGTAACCAAAATTTTTCTCCCTTCTTCTCTCTCTAAAATCAATAAACTAGCCCTGACTGGTGTAGCTCAGTGGATTGAGCGCGGGCCTTCGAACCAGAGTATCGAGGTTTGATTCCCAGTCAGGGCACATTCCTGGGTTGCAGGCCAGTTCCCAGCAGGGGACACACGGGAGGCAACCACACATTGATGTTTCTCTCCCTCTCCCCTTCCCCTCTAAAGATAAATAAATTAAAAAACAAAAACAAACAAACAAATACATAAATAAATAAAATCAATAAACAAACTTACCCTTGGATGAGAATAAAAAAATTAAGTTGTCAAAAGTCCTATAACCTTGCCTAACAACACTAACATATATATCAAGATCCACAATCTATAAGAAAGTATAATTTGATGTTTAATTTAAAGAAATACTGAAAATAATTAAGGTATATATTAGATGAATTAGAAACTACCATTTGAACACTATTTAATATTAAATATAGTTTAATTTTAAGGTCTTTAATTTCACTTCAAATCCATAAATGGAAATTAGTTTGGATTGTATGACAGAGGAAACAATAAAACTTGTTCTCAAAGACATACCAATACATTTTCTTGAAACAAAATCTCAGCAAATGAGAATTTTCATACTGTGCACTGGAATAACTAAAACCTTTATTAGATATGGTTTTCCATTAACAATGTGAAAACTGAAATTATCAATTCAAAGAGCAGTGAAGTCTGAAATTTAAAAAAGTAGGCTAAATATTAGGTAAGGGACAAAAGATAAAGGAAGACAAAAATGTTTAATACTATTCAATATCTCCCCTCTGTACACAATGTTTCATATATACAACTACTCCATTTTAATTTTATTGATTTTATATAATAGTGAAATCCCCTTAAGCAACCTATGGTATACAGATGGTATCCAATTTGGTGGGGGGGAAAGTAGAAACACACTTGATTAAGTTTTCACCCACACATTTTAGACAATATTTTGGCCAAGATTTTCATAGTAAATTCATTAATATAGGAAGTACTTTTACTCCTTCAGTGTTAAAATAGAAAACCAAACAGTGCCAACCACAGTAGCCTAATTATTGGCATACAAGAAAAACACAACACCAATGGGTTTTCTTCATTATGCATTTTAAATATCAATATGTGCATGTTTCATTTTTAGTTATAAATTTAGTCTGTTATAGAAACAGGATTGGTTGTTCTGAATCTATTGAGATGATGCTTTCAATTTGAAATATTGTGTGCACACATGTATATAAAAATTATCCAATGTATGACTCATCTGACATGTTTAAGATCAATAAAGGCTTATTTTTTGACATGCAGTTAGGAGAGAGGGAAGCAAGCCAATCTCTCTACATTGGTTGCTGGCTTGTTTTTGCAGTGGTATCAATAGTGGTTTTTGGAGGGAACCATGTGCCTTCAGCCTATCTATTTAAGATCTGATACCACAATTGAGGGGCAACAGGGGAGGGCATATGATATCAAATTTTAAAAGTGTGCATTTTGCACCCTTTTTAGGTACAGAATAAAAACAGGCCAATGAGGAAAATTTTTTATAATTAGGAAACACTGCAATCAAATCAAGACGTAATAGCCGAATTAAGTTCTTTTAATAGATTGCATATATTGATGTTTAGCCATTAACTCTCTGATAACTCTTTAAAAGTAGAACCTTATATCCAATTTACATGCTTCAAATATCACCTTTCTTATTTTTTACAGTAAGGTCTTGTATCCAAATATCCACTTGTACACCGAGAGCTTTAAGAAAAAACAGGACACAAAGGGAGTTGCCATTTTTTAGCAGCAATGAAATATCATTAACCCCTTTTAACATACCGAATTCAAGTCACTATCAGAGGTGAGCGCACCACAAAGTCACCAGGTACAAAATTGCTAGTACATTTTTAAATTAATAACTTGAAATTACCCTGCCCCCCACCCCATTACATCCCTTCTTTTTATAAACAGCAAACATTTTGCTATTTTATACATAGGCTAGCAGGCTTGTTTCAATATGAAAGTGCTAATTCATTTACAGATTTTTAAAAATCAGTTATGTAGTGCTACAATAAATGTCCAATCTACATAGAAACAATCTTTGATGAGTGAAAAGATAAAGACTGAATAAGGTTGTCGATTACCTTATTTACATATGAAGAATAGATACCCAATGGTGAGGAAAAGACAGAAATCAGACAAATACTCATAGGTATAAAATTACATCTACCTTTGAGCTTATACTGTAAATGAGACATTTTAAATAGTCCTGTAGCCCATGCCTATTTTTTCCTCAGAAAAAGAAAAGCTGCCTTCATGACATCCCCTCGTTTCATATTTCCACAGTGTCACCTGAACTTTCAGTCAGAATCTTTCTTTCTTCAAAAAATAAAGAAAATACCCACCCTCCATTCCCCCCCACACTCAAAATCCCTCTGGATTCTTTTCCAGTGCCAAGTTGCATGATCAGGTCTGACCTCCGGGGTTTGTTTTTCCTTTTGTCCATCTATTGATCAATTAGTTTAGAGTAGATAATAACATGAACCAGTTCTGGAACTGCTACTAGGAGGAACACAAGCTCATCACTACAATCACACAGCAGGAAAGTGATAACTCAATTCATCCCTGGTGCTGGGCCTCCAAAATTGAAAGAGCTTGGCACAACTGGAGCACTAAATTTGTATCCTCCATGCTTCTCAATCATTTTGGATTCTGGAAGAGAAGTGATAGTTTAATACAACATGTGACCATCTTACTACTTTGGAGAAAACAAGAAACTGACACATAAATAAAAGCTTAACTACTGCCCTGGCTGGTGTAACTCAGTGGATTGAGCACGGGCCTGGGAACCAGATGATCGAGGTTCCATTTCCAGTCAGGGCACATGCCTGGGATGCAGGCCAATTCCCAGCAGGGGACGCATGAGCAGCAACCACACATTGATATTTCTCTCCCTCTCTCCTTCCCTTCCCCTCTAAAGATAAATAAAATCTTAAAAAAAAAAAGCTTAACTACTAGTATTAAGCAGGAAGTTCCAAAGTTAGGCTATGTATTATCTAAAGTGTTCTTTTGTGAAATGAATACTGGCTAGAATGTTTAATATAGTTCTGAAACGGTTTTCATAACTTCTAATTTTTTTTACGCTTTCTAATAGGATTTTCAACTACCAGGCCATCACCGTAAGCTTGAGCAACCTTATTCGAGCTTCTGCAAACTAAAAGTAGTCTTCAACTACACTTAAAACAGTAAACTGCTGCCAAACACAAAATTCATTTTATTCCTTCAGTAAATTCCTATCAACTGCAACACCTGTAAATTTTATATAGTTAAAAATCACTTAGCCCTGGCTGGTGTGACTCAGTTGATTAAGTGCTCACCTGAGAACCAAAAGGTCCCAGGTCCCAGTCAGGGCACATGCCCAGGTTGTGGGCCAAGTAGGTCCCCAGTGGGGGACATGAGAGGCAGCCACACATTGATGTTTCTCTCCCTTTTTCCAACCCTTCACCTCTCTCTAAAAATAAATAAAATCTTGAAAAAATAATTTAATATAAAAATGTAAAGCTCTATCAAATCATGAATTGCATGAAAGAGGGGTTGTGATCAATTAACATACCATGGGCTGCCCTTCTTTGATCAGCCAGAGTTGCTATATCCTGTAACTGTTTTCTTTGTTCTTCATTAAGACCATGAGTCAGAGCCTGATACCACACAGGATTGCGATTTTGTATAGCTATCAAAAAGAAAAGAAATGGGGAAATGGCAATAATAAGAAAGGCTTGACAGCTCCTTTCAATTCTGTTCCTGTAGTCCACCTCCAGTTCTAAAATTCTGATTTTATGTTCCCGCAATAATAAATTTTAAGTTACTTGCGAAACAAATGATACAGGGAGGAAAAAAATCTGGTTTAACATTAATGTCTCAAAAAAACCTAACCATTCTCATAATTTATATCTCTAGCAAATAAGGACTCAGAGCCTAAACCAGTTCTTACAAGTAACAAACTAGGGAAAGCTTAGATAAAAATTCTCAGGTCTCTAAATTAAAAACCAAAAACAATAAGCATTAACTACATGCATATAAAGGTGTGAATGATACAAAATAAAAGCCTCATTTCTTTCTGCATTGCCTATTCAAAAACCTTTCTTAAATACACCTGCTGTCTTTTTATAGAAAGCTCTACGGTGCTTAAGTTAAAATCGATGCTCACACATTTTTAATATTATAGTCTAAATAATGGTCAAACTCAACCTGTGACAAAGGGAGAATAAATTTTCCTAACTGCCACAAGACCAGGTGTCAAAAACCTCAAAATGTTTGCACTAGATGAACTGGGATATAATGGTAGCAAGCCTGACCATGTATTTCCCTACTTCGATTAAATAGCTATAGAAGGGACATGTGCATGGTGAGAAAAAAGGAAAGGATTCCAAGACCATTAATTATAAATTGTCCAATTCTCAGACAGGTAAGTGTCAGTTTGGCTGGAAAGAAAAGAAACTCAAACACACACAAACAGAAGAGCAGATACTTCTAGAGTAAGCTGGGATGCTAGAAATCACAGGTGGGAAAGAGAAACTGTCAGTGTGTAAACTGTTTTAACTACACTATTTTCCTGTAATGTGAATGTTGCAAAATTATAGTCTAAATAAAAATAACAGAATGAAGAAAATGCTCTCAAACTATGACAACAATAGAAATAACTCTGGTTACTTTACACAACACTCTTAAGTCATAGTATATTTGATATACCCAAATCCCTCTAAGGGAAAAATCTAAGAACAGACTGGTTCATGGAAATGGATCATATAGAGCTATATGAATTACATATAACAAGCTGACTTACTTTGAAATATAGCTTTAAATATCTGATATTCATCAACTGGGTTATCTTCATCATCAATGATTGTGGAATAGCCTTCCAGAGCAGTCTCCTCAGCATCGTTTTCTTCCCAATCATCATCATCGCCATCTTCACCTGCTTGCTTAGCCAGAATCTCCAAATATTCTTGACCGTCTTCATCAATGTCATCTTCATCGCTCCCTAGTTCCTCTGCCAAGACATAAAATAGGTGCTTTTGTTAACATTGTAATATTCTGTTACTGAGCAAACTGACAGTGATAACAGTAAATCACAATTGAATAAAATTCAAGGAAGAGTCCCCAGAAAATGGTGTTTAAGTATATGTTTAGCAAAAAGTAGGGAAAAATTCTCATTGAAATGCAAGAAACCCAACCACAATTCTTAATATTAGAGGTTTGAAAAAGGACTGCAAAATAAGAGATTCAGCACTTGGTATACTCTGAGCCATATGGTTTATACCAAATAAAACACTAATAGTAAAGTAATACAGTTTATAGTATATCCACAGAAGACATTTTGCAAGATTTTTTTTAACAGCTGAGTTAGTGAATGATAAAAGACAGAAATGGTGATAGCTATCTTACTTTGGAACTGTTAATTTCCCTTAACCAACATTCTATTAATTTATACTTTTGTAGTATACAGTGTCTTATTGGTGAAATGTATTAGGCAACATCCAATTTATTTTATAGTTAGGATGCTTATGTTATAGCACTAAAAAATGATAGATGTTTGTCAACACTAAGAGCCGTAAATGCCTTCTTTGCAGAATTAACACCAAATGATGGATGACGCCAGATGCTACAGAACAGCCTGAAGGCCTGGGAATGGAGAATCATCCAGAGCCGAGTCATGGCTGGGGTCCAGGCCAGGGCCAAGGCCCTGGAACTTACAGAGTCAAGGCTGGGAACAAGGAGTGGATCCCCATCACTAAACTGGGGCACCACATTAAGGACATAAATATCAATGTACTGCCTCTCACACAACCCCAACTGGGAACCTGGCCCACAATCCAGGCATGAACCCTACCAGGAATTGCAACAGTGAATTTTTGATTTGCAGGACGATGCCCAACCCATTGAGCTACACTGGTCAGAGGCACTACATAATTTTATACAAGAAAAATAAAATGAAGTAAGCCTGTTAAAAAGAAGAAGGAGGCTCTGGCTGGTGTAGCTCAGTGGATTGAGGGCAGGCCTGTGAAACAAAGGGTTACTGGTTTGATTCCCAGTCAGGGCACATGCCTGGGTTGCAGGACGTTGTGGGTCAGGTCCCCAATAGGGCCTGCATGAGAGGAACCACACATTGATATTTCTCTCCCTTTCTCCTTCCCTTCCCCTTTGTCTAAATATAAATAAAATCTTTAAAAAAATTAAAATTAAAAAAAAGAAGAACCATAAATGCCTGGAAGTACTTTATGTATTAAAGATATGAGAAGTTCTAGTCTTCATGGAAGTTACCCTTGGGGGAAAGTAAGATTATCTTTCTATGAATAATGAAAATAAAAACATTTGGTTATGACCCTACATTGCTTTTAGAAAAAGGGCTAATAAAACAAATTAAGTCCAGTGATATTCTAACTAGGTAAGTTTGGCTTCCTCCATCACAAATCCCTTACCTGTTTCATCATCATCATCAGCTTCATCATCGTCATCACTGTCATTCTCATGTTCTGCATGGCAGGCATATGCTCTTTTTAATCCATTAAATAAAAGGATAAAAGCTGGCAAAATCTGTCCAGAAACCTGATTTAAAACTTGTGGTATTTGTTCCATATCAATAAGAGCACACAGGCCCAAAACACACATCTTTCTGTCATGTAGCCTAAAAAATAAAATAAAGATTTTTTTCTTTCTTTTTTTCTTAATAAGCAGTTTCTTATAAAGTTAAGTAAACAAATATCCAATATATGCCACTTACCCCAAGAAACAATCAACATCATTAAGCCACTGTGTAATAAAATGATTTGTAACTGGTTCAACATTATTAGGAAAGCGAAGATTTTCTAAGGTATTAAGTAGTAGGTGTGGATTATAATACAAAGCTGCAATGGCAACTTGCAGGCACATTGTTCGAAGTTCACTTGTCTTCACTTCTCTTGTCAGTCTCTCTAAAGCTGCTTCCACAAATAAGGGAATACACTGTAAAGAAAGTTATAAAAATATCTGTGTAAGTAATAGCAATCTAATTATCCTACCCATATTAACTTACTTTTTGCTTCACCTCACCTCTTTCCCCATTAAATGATACAATAGTTTTTTATTGAGGCATTTCACTGGGAAATTTAATCTTAGAAAGAGACAAGTCTTCAATGAGATATTAGAGCCTCACCACAACAGCAATCATGGATTCAGTATTTCTATATTGACAAACTTTACTGTGATAACCATGTCCATATACATATATATCAACTCATTACACTGTATATTTTCAACTTATACAATGTTATATTTCAATTATATCTCAATAAGACTGTAAAAAATTCTTTTTGAAACCAGCCATGGAAATTTAATGACTGAATCTATTTTACTGCAAAGTGATAACATGGCAAATATAACAAAATCAAGGTCAAAACAGAACTTACCTTGCATGTTAACAAGTTATCATAAAACAAGACAGTCAAATTAAACACATGATCATTATTATACATTGGTTAAATATTAAACCAGTTTATCTAGGTGTCATAATAAACAACAATGTACAGAATATATAACAAATGGCCCAAAAGAAAAAAAGTGGAGGGAAAGATTTCTTCTCTGAAGCCTCACAAACGAATCATTAATTGTTAGCCTCACTGACCTGGTCAATGCCACGCCCTTTGCACTGTAGAATGATGACCTCTAACAATTTTGCTGCGTGACACTCTGCATCTTCTCCTGCAACTCCTGTAAGAACCTGATCAATAAAATATAAGTTGGAGTGAGGCATCATGAAAACTTTCAACCTGAGAATTTCTATCCCACCTTCAGTCTCTGGAGAATTTAAGATATTCCAAATAGATATGCAATATTCAGACTATAGGATAAGCATCTGTGAGGATGTGGAATTGATAGTCTGTCATATTCTAGCAATCTGGATCTTGGTCTAAATAATCAAAGCTCTTCTCCCATAGTGCCATTTCTGGACAATAGCGTGTTGACCACTAACTACTTTCTCATACAAATATGTCAAAGGACCTTCACCTTAACTAAAGCACCTAACTTTTCTCAGGGATATTTGGCTCTTATGTAAAGAACTACAAAAAAAACTAAGCTGATATTGCTAGGAAAATCTTTTCTCTATATAAGTTTAAAAAAAAAAATACTGACATTGGAGTGGCACAGGAGAAAAGAAAAGGCAGCTTGTTGATGGCAAATGTCCACAGACAAAAAAACATGGATGAGGCATGCTAGTTAGCAGTAGAGGTCTGAAAATATTAACAGTAAGTGTTTTGAAATATGATAGTGTAGATATCTGCACCCAAAGTATTATCATAATACTAGTATTGACAATAAATATTAAGTAAACATATCTAGATGATTACTTTATGATCAAGTATTCAGAAAAGAAAGATATCAATAAGGACAAGCACATCTAAAAACAATGGAGTAAAATCACTTTTTAAATGCTTCATGTTAAACAGCCTGCTGCCTCTCAACAGGCACAGTTAGAAATTCAAAAATTACCAATTACAGTCACTTTGATACCTTTGATTCCTAAAGGATCCCACTTCAAGTATTTAACCCACACCTCAAGTTTTTCCCCAAGATTTTCTTTATTTTTTAGACAGAGGGTGAGGGATGGAGGAACAACAATGTGTGGCTGCTGTTCACGAACCCCCACACTGGGAACTTGGCCCACAACCTAGGCAAATGCCGTGACTGGGAATTGAACCAGCAACCTTTTGGTTCGCAGGCTGGCACTCAATCCACTGAGCCACACCAGCCAGAGCCCCATACCTCAAGTTTAAGAAAAGCATTTTAAAAAGTAGCATTCACTGGAAATTTATCTTATGATTTTTACAATCTTGCTATTTACTAGGTAATTACTATATAGCCTCTGCAGCCTCCAAGAATTTTATTTAAAAAAATATCTGTAATAAATCCTGATCCTTTAAAAAAATCTCCAGATTCTTCTTTTAATTCAAAGCCCAGCAAAGAACTAGGCTAAGGTTAAGCTCTAAGCACAGTGAAAAATCAGAAACACTTATAACTCCAATTAAATGTCAAGAGAGCAGACAGAAAATACTTGCTCCAGCCATTAACATAACACCAAAGGAAAGTCTTGTTTAAACTTTTAAACCACTCCTCCCCGACAGATGTCAGTCAGTCTGACATGTTCCATGTTATCTATGCCTGTTTCTATTTTGTTAGTGTACTGTTCATTAGATTCCCCACAGAAGTGAGATCATAGGGTATTTGTCTTTCTCCGACTGGTTAAAGTCCTTATTCTGTTAGACCTATATACTCTGTTCATCATAATGTGGTATCATGTTGCTTTAAAATTTCAGTTTTTTATAGCACCAGCTTCATGACATATATTCTTCTATTAATTAAAAATGACCTACCTTTTTGCACATACTGTATATCATTTCAAGATACTTGGTATCAGACAGAAGTGTGTCTGTGTCAACCGTCACATAATTATGAAGCAGAGGCATCATATCTGTATTAAAAAGCATCAGTTAATTACCTTTACTAATATAAATGCTTTATTTCTGAAAAATCTCTTTAGAAAAAAGAAAGCAAACATGACATTGTTTTGTTTGTAACATTTACTTTCAATTAAGGCATATTCATTTATAATTAGATATAGAAATGAACCATTATTAAAGTGAATTCCTTTACATTTAGTAGTTACAGCACAAAGATTATACAAAAAGAACACCCACAGTAAGGAGTACAACAATAAGTTTAAAAGAAAAAATCTAAACCAATACTAAATATTAATATAAAACAAAAATCATTACTATGGGTTTTTATCAACTGCTACTGATAACATGCAAACAAGGATACACCTAGAATATTCAAAACTATGTGTTCAACTGAAATACTAAAAAAAAAAATCAAAATGGGAGTATTTCCACACTGACTTGACTTACCTGTAAAGTAATCAAAGCCATCCTGTTGAAAAACCTCAAATACCAGAGGTAGAAGCTGCCACATCTGTGGAGACACTTGTTGGCATGTCAAACTGTGTGCTAAAGAGAAGATCTCCTCATAGAATTCTAAAAAGAAATATGAAATAATTAGTATAATGCTTGCTAATGTGCAACAGCAGTAAATTACCAATAGGCCCTGGCTGGTGTAGCTCAGTGGATTGGGCAAGGGCCTTCAAACCAAACAACCGTGGTTCGATTCCCAGTCAGGGCACATGCCTGGGTTGCAGGCCAGTTCCCAGCAGGGGATGCACAAGAGGCAATCACACACTGATACTTCATTCCCTCTCTCCTTCCCTTCTCTTCCCCTCTAAAGATAAATAAATAAAATCTTTTAAAAAATTATTATGATAGTCACAGGTATATACCTAAGACATGCTGCTGTAAAACAGTTCCGATGACCTGTAAGCAGATTCCCTCAAGCTGCTGGGTTATCTAAAAAGAGAAGGAAAAAAAAATCACATGGAGGAATCAGAGCACACTGAATGAATAACTGAATGATGTATAATGCAATTCATTGCATTAAAATATAAAGTTAATATTGTTAAGAAATCATGGATAATTCTTTGCTTTGAAATGATTCACTCATATTGTGATGTTACGAATCAACCTGAAATTCAAATTTAATGAAGTACCATCAGAATAAGACAAACATAAAGAATAATATGCAAAGTCTATGCAAAAAGGAAACAATAACATACTGGAAAAATACAAATAATTATGAAAATAAAGGAGCCACACCATTCTGCAGACAGACTTTAAAAATTTTGTTTGTAAAAAAATAAAATAAAATTTTGTTTGTAAATATAGACTAATTCAGCCCAGATATAACTGAGAAGTCACTGTCTGAGGTATACACAGCTATCTGAAATAAAGCATTATTCCCACCTCTACCAATAATTCTTAAGTCACCTCCACTTATATAATTATCTCAATATATGAGATAGAGAACCAGGCCCCTAAGTTATACAACACAGAGAGAAATTATAACTTCTTTTTAACTGTTAGTATGGTCTTCAGTCAGATCACGAATGCCTGAAATTCATGGGAATGTTTCTAAAGAGGCAAGGGGAAATAAATAAACTTTACTAATCAGAAATTAAAAACAGAACACCCATCTCAAATACGTCTTCTTCAAATAACTGGTTTGTTAACCATAAGGTAGTTTAACTTTTGGGTTCCTTATGGCTTCCGCCTATCTCCAATTATCATCTAAGATAAAAAAAGAGTTTATTAAAACTTCATGTTGCAAAAGGCAATTAACAGATAATCTGAAAACGTAATATATGAATGTAAAAAATATCTACACTGGTGTTGTAAATAGCAAATTCAGGACACTGATTACTTCTAAGGGAAGGAATTAGGGAAATGAGATTAGGAAGTCGTAGCCCAATAGCTTCAATTACATCTATATGAAATTGTTTTTCTTATTAGAAATAAAGTCTAATGGGTATACCGTAAAATGTTAAAACCTAATAAATTTAGGTGGTGGTTAAAGGGTATTGGTTATACCCTTTATAAAGAGTTTTTCTCTGTTTATTTCTCTTTTCTGTGCATTTCAAATAATTCCATTTAAAAAATTCACTTACAATTCAAAAAGAAAACTAGAGACAGGGAAGGTTGCACAACAATGTGAATCTACTTACCACCAAGGAACTGTACACTTGAAAGTATTCTACCATAATTTAAACATTTTTTATTTAAAGGAACACTAGATAGAATATGTTTTCCTAGGAATCACCATACTTTTGGATCTGAGAAATGTAACCTAAGAGGAAGCCAAAAACCTGACCCTTGAGGTAAAGATACTGTAACACAAACACCTTCTTCCTTCTAATAGTAAGGAAACTAAAATCCTATATCAATCTTATCCATAAAAAAATGGAACTACTTAAAAGATGGAAGAATGAAGGTGCATGAAAAGATGACCAAACATTTTAAGTTAGAAACTCCAAAAAGGATAGTTCATGAAGAATGGCTTGAAATAACCTAAACCCTTCAAAACACTGGATCATTTTGTTACCTCTTTATGATCTTCAACTACACTAAGAAGAGTGTCGATGGTGTTCAGGATTCCCATAGCAGTAACTGCTTTGTCATCACTTCCTTCTTCATCTGGTCCAGTCTGGATTACTTGATTAAATGTCATTGCCTAGATTCAAAAGCACATAATTTAGGTTTGCCATTAAAGCAGCGAAACACATTTTGGTCTAAAACTTAATTTTTTAAATATTCCAACTGGGACAGCAAAATCAATCAAAGCCTCCAAATTGATTAACAATAATTAAGAGTGAGGACACTATAATTAAATAGTCTACTCTGTGAATTACTAGGGTATCTTAAACAAGTTACTTGAACTCTGTTCCTTATAAATTTTGAATATTAAGCCCTTATCAGATATATCATTGACAATTATGTTCTCTGATTCAGTGTGCTGTCTTCCCATCTTGTTGATGGTTATCTTTGCTGTGCAAAACCTTTTTAGTTTAATGTAGTCCCATTTGTTACTTTTTCTTTTGTTTCCCTTGCCTGAGGAGATATATCAGAAAAATATACCGCTGAAAGAAATGTCAGAGATTGCACTTCCAGTGTAAAACTCTTCTCAGAGTTTTATGATTTTGAGCCTTACATCAACTCTTTAATCCATTTTGAGGTTATTGTTGTATATGGTGTAAGAAAGTGGTCTACTTTCATTTTTTTTTGCACATCTGTCCAGTTTTCCCTACTCCATTTATTTACTAGACTAATCTTTACCCCACTGTATGTTCTTGCCTCCTTTGTCAAATAATAATTGACCATAAAGGAGTGGGTTTATTTCTGTGCTTCCTATTCTGTCTCACAGATCTGTTATGTCTGTATTTATGCCAGTACTATGCTCTTTTGATTACTATGGCCTTGTAAGTATACTTTGGTATCAGGTAGATTGATTCCTCCAAGTTTGCTCTTCTTTCTCAAGATCACTGTTACTGTTTAGGGTCTTCTATAATTCCATATAAATTTTTGGAATATTTATGCTAGTTCTGTCAAATACACCATTGGTATCTTGATAGGAATTGCGTTGAATCTACAGGCTGCTTTGGGTAATGTGGACATTTTAATGAAGTTTTAATTCTTCCTATCCATGAACACAGCATAAGCTTCCATTTATTTGTAGTTTCTTCAACTTCTTTCTTTGGTGTCTTACAATTTTAGGAATACAGGTTTTTTATATCCTGGACTAAATTTATTCCTAGGTATTTTACATTATTTTTTGATGCGATTGTAAGTGGGCTTGTTTTCTTAGTTTCCCTTTCTGATAATTCATTACTGGTATATAAATATGAAACTGATTTCTGGATATTTATTTCGTATCTTCTACATTACTAAGCTCATTAATTGAGTCATTTTTTTGGTGGAAGCTGTAGGGTTCTCAACATACAGTATCACAAAATCTGCAAATAATGAGCTTTACTTCTTCCTTTCTAATCTCGATGCCTTTTATTAATTCTTTTTCTCTGATTACTATGGCTAGGACCTATAATATTGTGTTGAGTAAGAGTGGCAAAAGTGGACATCCCTGTCTTGTTTCTGATCTTAAGGGAAATACTTTTAGTTTTTGTCCATTGAGCATGATATTGGCTTGGGTTTGTCACACATGGCTTTTATTATATTATGTTCCATTTAGAACTATTTTGCTGAGAGTTTTTATCATAAATGGGTGGTGGATTCACAAAACTTTTGCCATTGCTTAAATCCATAGCAAATACCAAGAGTTACATTCTTGAAATCTTAACAGCAGGAATATAAACTGCATCAAATAGTTCATTGTAGAGGGAAAAGAAATGAGTAACTGTTGGACACATGGTCATATTCTCTATCACCCTGAAATAATTCACTTAATTCTCCAAAGATTGGGGCTATGTAAAGTAAACAAAGGCCATCAATAAAATAACATTACACAAATTTCATTTTAAAAACATTTATAACCTCCCTGGCTGGTGTGGCTCAGTGGATTGAGTGCTGTATGAACCAAAGGATAGCTAGTTTGATTCCCAAGTCAGGGCACATGCCTGGGTTGTGGGCCAGGTCCCTGATTGGAGGGTGCATGAGAAGCAACCACACACTGATGTTTCTCGCCCCCTCTTTCTCCTTCCCTTCCCCCCTGTCTAAAAATATATATATATTTAAAATTATAACAAACATGCCTACTTCATCTTTAAATTGTGTCAAAACATTCCAGGAAACTACATGAACAAAGCAATCATAATGCAATGTGACGTAACAGTTAAGGATATATGCTTCGTATAGGCATATAGCTCAGATGTGAATCCAGCCCCACCCATTCTAGATATGGGGCAAACCACTTTATTTCTTTATATCTGAAGTTTTATTTCAATATAACAATAGTCCTCACACAGGACTGTGTGAGATTTAAACAAGTTAAATATTTATCAAAGGATTTTAACAGTATCTACATATAGTAAGCTCTATGAAAATGCTTTCTATAAGGTAAGTAATACATAAATGATTGGTTCAAATTACATACCAAATGTTGTGTCATTTCTACTGCAATAGGAGTAACTTCTTCACTATACTCGCAGATCATTTTCTGAATTACATTGGTAAGATCATCATTTTCTGTTTCTCTTATAATATGAAGAAGAGCCTGCATTACAGGTCTTATGAATGGTGTGATGTATTCTTTAGCTGTAAGATGAAAAGAGAAAACAACTTAGGCCAAAATAGATAAAACTCCTTAAAACCTAACATAACACACACCAGAGTAAAAAAGAGATAATGTTACATGAAAAGGAAGATTATGTGTCAAGTACCTAGGATCATGCCTTATATAATCATGTGAAAACCCACTGCACTATTTTTGAGATAAACACTTTACCTTTTTCTTGATTGCTGATTAATACTTGAAGTGCAATGGCAGCTTCCACTTTCACAGGCATTTCCCTATCATCAATCAGACATCTTCGTGTCAGTTCTAAGGCCGTTTGCAAGTTCTGGTCACTTTTGAACTTCACTTCACAAAAGTAGTGAAGGACCCAGCAAGCCTTTAAAAAACATTGCAGTGAGTTGCTATATCTTATGTTAAATTCCCCTAAACTATACAGTATATCTAATCCCCAAATTCTGTGTGGGAATTTGGAGGCTGGCCAGTGTAAAATTATGTCCAACGAGACCACACTAGACCAGTACTATGATCCCAACTTACTCTTTGGCTGCATGATGTTTGTGTGGATAGCAAGATCTGAATGCAAAACACAGACAGACATTGCTATCAGACACAGATGAAAACTATGCACACATTACATCAGCCATTTAAAGATTTACATGAAACGAAATATGGCTTTTAAAGTGAACATTAAAACATTTCCCTTTTTAAAGTCCACATAAGCAAGAAGTCATTCATTACAAGATGTAAATATATAAATTAATACAACATTAAAACTTACTCTTGCTCTCATGTAGCCTAGTTCACTGCTGAATAGAGGAAACACATGATTTTGCAACATGTATTCCATCTGATCTTTGTAGATCTTTTTCTGTAAATACAAACAAATATTTTTGAAGCAGTTTCAAGTATAATAATCTCAAATAACAAACAGATACACCAGTGTTAAAGGTTACTACCAATTTTTAAACATACATTTATTCTGGTTCTTTGAACTCTAATATCCACATCCAATTTTCTTTTTCTCAAACTTGGCCACCAAAAATACTGAATACACCCTGGCCCAATGTGACTCAGCTCATTGAAGTGTCAACCTGTAAACCAGGGCACATGCCTAGGTTGTGGGTTCTGTCCCTGATCAGGGTGCATATGAGAACTGACCGATTTTTCTCTCCCGAACTAATGTCTCCCTCCCTCACTTCCCTTCTCTAAAAATTTCAACAAGCATATCTTTGGTTGAAGATTAAAATAAAAACAAACAAACAAACACTGAATACATTTTTAAAATTCTTTTCTATCGTTTGTTTAGAAAGCAACTGCACTGAATCTTAGCAGCACTGGTATTTGAATAATAGAATGTGGTTGATTTTATTGCTTACCTTTTAAAACTTTTTCTTGCAAAACTACTACAATGAAAAAAAAACCCTGGAAAGGTTCTAAATGAATAGAACAAAGATTGATAAACATCCTGCTTTTAAGGAATAATCTGGATATCTAAAAATATACTTGTACTTTAAAAATAATAACATGATTCTAAGAAGAGTTCCTTGAATTGCATATTAAATCAAAATCAAAACTGATAAATACTTTCAAAACTTAAGAACTGACTAATGAGACATGAGAACTAAATGCAATGGTGTGATCCTGGCATGGGCCATGGACCAGAAAAGACATTTGTGATAAATAAACTTTAGATTATTATTTATGAAGAAGTCAGACACAATGTTTACAATTAAGTTGAGGATTCTAAAGATAAATCCACTCCAGTCATTCATTCTTTCCTAGAAAATCTGGCACAAAAGCATTATGTTCCTAGGCTGTAAATAGATGCATTCATGTATACAAACTTCCTTAAAAATCAATTTTAAAAAGAAAAAACCCTCTATTTTACAATTGTTTTGCAACATAAAAAGAAAACTCATGTAGCTTCTCCAAGACGTAACTTAAGTAGGTAGAAATTACACTAACCTCCTCCCCAGGACCAAACTGGAATTACAACCAGATTATAGAGAAATCATCCTAAATAACAAACTGCACAATAACTGGAGAAAAGCCAAGGACTTATGGAAGAAACCTCATCACCACAACGAGAATGGTAGGGAGTACAGAAGCACAAGAGGGATGGCTGGGCTCCCATGGGCAGCAGCTAAAGTGCTGGTGGGATATTTCAGAGGTGGTGGGGGGATGGGGCTGGGGGAGTGGGGATCCCCCTGGGACTTGCGGGAATCCAAACCCCAAGCTGGGCTACCCAGCATAGAGCACCAGAACTGGGAAAGGAACCCAAGTATCACCCAGCTGTGAAAAGCAGTAGGGTTTCTGTCCACCAGGCAGAGACAGCTGGAGACACAGAGAGCTTCTTAAAAAACCAACACACAAAATTTTGTTTACAGCCACTTACCCTCGGCTCCCACAGAAGGAAAGCAGAGCGGACTAGAGACATGTCAGAAGAGACTGAAGCTGGCTCTGTGGAGAGTGCTGAAGGGTCAGCCATCAGGATCCCTGTCTTGAATCATTCCTCCTACTGTAGCAGCCACCTTCCTCAGAACACTCCACTCCTTGAGGCATTAGCCTGGAGAGGAAGCAGCCCCACCCATAGGAATCCTTCTCAACCCACCCAGTGGAGCTGAAGACTGGCTGCTCAGTATAGCTGGAGGCTATTTTAGGAATTAAGCCCTTGAGCTCTGAGACTTTATTGACCTTCTGTTGGGCCCAGTGATGGTAAAATCTGGCCTTTGTGCACAGCTTGGTTCTTTCTGCACATACCTGGCCTGTCACTGGGAGCCAGCCACAAGCTCTGGATTGCTAACAGCTCCAAACAGGTTGCTCAGGGCCAGTCACAAACTGTGTCTGACATAAGACTACACCAGCCTCTTTGTGGATCTACCTCATACACAGAAACACATAAAAGGAGGTAGCCAAAAAGGGAAGACAAAGTAACAGGCCCTCCAAGAAAGAACAAGAGAACTCTCCCGAAGAACTACTAAATGAAATGGAGGCAAGGAAGTTATCAGATATAGAGTTTAGAGTGCTGATTATAAAAATATTCAATAGCATGAAAAAAGACAAGAAACTGTAAAAAAGCACCAGTCAGAAAGAAAGAAATGCAGTATGTGAAATAAGGGAACAGCATGAAATATTCAAAGTGATAAAACACAAGAACCTACAACCAAAAACACTCTACCCAGCCAGGCTATCATTTAAAACAGAAAGAGAAATAAAGAAATTCCCAGATAAGAAAAGGCTAAAGGAGGGACTTCCACCAAGATGAAGGCGTAGGTGGAAACACTGTACATTTTCCCACAACCAAGTCTAAGCAACCAAAAACGCAGCCAAACCACAGAAAATTGAACAATACGGTAGTCTGACAACAATGAATCACTCAGCCAGGCCAGTAAGAGGGGCAGAGCCAGCAGCAGAGCAGGTCAGGAAAAAAAGACCCCCGACCCAGGCACGCAGGCAGTCAAGGGCGGACCCAGTGTAGGCGAAAGGCGGCAGGCTGACCTCGGTCACACATTCGTGCGCAGATAAACCAGCCAAGGAGAGAGCAGTGAGACAGACCGCACAGGCCTCAGCGATGGGAAGGAGCAGAGGGGACTGCCATTGCGCCCTCTCTGACCCCACCCCCACATACAGCGTCACAAACCAGGGACCTGGGTGGCCCCATCCTGGTGAACAACTAAGGCTCCCCTCCTCATACGTAACAGGCATGAACAGATCAAAACATGGCTCAAGAACAACTCAGAGCCCCAGAGCCCATAAATCTAAGCGAACAAGAAATTGCCAACCTATCAGAGGCACAGTTCAAAACACTGGTGATCAGGATGCTCACAGAACTGGTTGATTTTAGCCACAAATTAGAGGAACATATGAAGGTTAAACTAATTGAAATGAAGGGAAAGGCACAGGAAACCAATAGTGATGGAAAGGAAACTGGGACTCAAATCAAGGGAGTGGACCAGAAGAAAGAAAAAAATGACCAAACAGAAAAATATGAAGAAACAAGAGTTCAAAAAAATGAGGAGAGTCTTAGGAACCTCCAGGACATCTTTAAACACTCCAACATCCGAATTATAGGGGTACCAGAAGGGGAAGAATAACAGCCACGAGTGGAAACCTTATTTGAACAAATAATAAAAGAGACTTCCCCAATCTGGCAAAGGCAACAGACTTCCAGGAAATCTAAGAAGCTCAGAGAGTCCTCAAAGAAGTTGGACCCAAGAAGGAACACACCAAGGCACATCATAATTACATTAACCAAGATTAAAATGAAGGAGAGAATCCTAGAAGCAGCAAGAGATAAGGGGACAGTCACCTACAAAGGAGTTCCCATCAGATTGTCAGCGGATTTCTCAAAAGACACCTTACAGGCCAGGAGGGGCTGGAAAGAAGTATTCCAAGTCATGAAAGGCAAGGACCTACATCCAAGATTGCTCTATCCAGCAAAGCTTTCATTTTGAATGGAAGGACAGATACAAGTGCTTCTCAGATAAGATCAAATTTAAGGAGTTCATCATCACCAAGCCCTTACTATATGAAATGTTAAAGGAACTTACCTAAGAAAAAGAAGATAAAAAAGATGAGCAGTGAAAGGACAGCAAACTCACAGTTATTAAGTACCACACCTAAAACAAAAGCAAACTAAGAGGACAGCTAGATCAGGAGCAGAACCATAGAAATGAAGATCTCATGGAGGGTTAGCAACAGGGGAGTGGGAGAAGAAGGGGGGAGAAGGTACAGAAAATAAGTAGCATAGACAGTAGATAGAAAATAGATAGGGGGCAGGGTAAGAGTAGTAGGGGAAATATAGAATCTAAACAACTTGAGACATGAGGTCACAAACTAAAGGGGGGAATGGTGGGAGAGGGGTGTGCAGGGTGGAGAGGAATGAAGGGGGGAAATAGAACAACTGTAATGGCATAATCAATAAAATATATTTAAAAAAAAGAAAAAGAAAAAGCTAAAGGAGTTTGTTAACGCCAAACCAGTACTGCAACAAATGTTAAAGGGCTGGCTTTAAAAAGAAGAAAAAGAGCCCTGGCTGGTGTGGCTCAGTATACTGAGTGCTTGCCTGAGAATCAAAAGGTAGCTGGTTCACAGGCCAGGTCCCCATTTGGGGACATGCAAGAGGCAACTGATTGATGTATCTCTTGTATACTGATGTTTCTCTCCCTCCCTCTAAAAACAAACAAACAAACAAACAAACAAACAAACAAACAAACAAACACAGCCCTGGCTACTGTGGCTCAGTGGATTGAACACCAGACTTCAAATCAAAGGGTAACTGGTTTGATTCCCAGTCAGGGCACATGCCTGGGTTTGGGGACAGGTACCCAGTAGGGGGCAACCACACATTAATGTTCCTCTCCCTCTCTTTCTCACTCCCTTCCTATCTCTAAAAGTAAATAAAATCTTTATTGAAGAACAAGAAAAAAACAGAAAAATAGTTATATATGCTGTTTCCAAGAGACCCACCTCAGAACGAAAGATACACAAACTAAAAGTAAAGGAATAAGAAAGATGTTTCATGGAAATTGAAAAGAAAAAAAAAGCTGGTATAGCAATACCTGTATGTGACACAACAGACTTCAAAAGAAAGGCTAGAGTAAGAGACAAAGAAGGATTCTATGTAATGATAAAGGGAACAATCCAAAACAAGGATACAACCCTAGTAAACACTTATGCACCCAATATAGGAACATCATCTAACCACGTTTAGGAAATCTTGATAGACTTAAAGGGAGAGATCAACAAAAATACAGTCACAGAAGGACATTTTAACACCCCAGTGAGTTCAGTGGATAGATCTTCCAGAATGAAAAATCCAGAAGGAGACAGTGGCCTTAAATGACACACTAGATCAAACAGATTTAA